TTAAAAATTAAAAATTATATAATTATAAATAAAATTTTAAAAATAAGTATTTATTTTTTATTTGAATTGAAAAAATTATTTTTTAATTTCATTTTAATTGAAAAAATATATGTATTTTACCTTAAATTAAATTAAATTAAAATGATATCAAACTAAAAGGCCAAGAAATTTTCAACCAAAAAAAATAAAAAGGCCCAAAAGAAAGCCTCTAGGAAACCGAAGTAAAGGAAATACTCACGTAAATCGGAGGAGACAGATAGAGAAAGAGAAGAACTCGTAGAAATCTGAAAGCTTCGGCGTGGGATGAATGGCTACCATGCCTATATTATCGGAGATCGGCGAAACCGTGACCGGCGATCCGATCTGGAATTCCCCATTGGGCGTAGTTGGTGGGCCCGAATTATGCTTCTGATTTTGTTGGGCCTTACTATTTTTCTTAGCTTTGGAGTCTGGGCTTGTCAAGGCCCGTCTAGGCTTCGCAAACCTGGATGTGCAGGCCACGATATCCAAGAGTCGCCTCACTTGTGCAATAGCCTGGGCTTCTCCTCTATGTAATCCTCTACAAAAATGGCATTGACGTAAAAAATTCAGATAATGACTTGTTCTAATTCCAACAGAAAAAAAAAGAAAGTTAAAAAAAAAATCACTAAACGACGAGTCTATGATTTGCTTCATAAATTACGGATAAAAAACACTTGGTCTTATTCTACAATAGAGTTTATTGTTAAATATTAAATTTAAATATTAATCACAGAAGTAAATAATTTGTTTCGCATAAATTACTATGAAGCTTGATTTCATTTATTATAATTCCAAAATCTTGTTTAAGGACAAATATTTCTGACAGGCTGAAACAGTATCGCCTACATTGTAAGCAATGTAATATTATTATTATTATTATTAAAACCGGGTAATATTTTGGCTAAAAAAAATTAGAAACGTGTGGTAAGTCTGAGTAATTAAAATGTTGAGTTCCACGAGGGGAAGGACCATCGTCACGGAGACGGGAGACCATAGTAATTAATCGAAATACTATCTTGAGGCCTTGACCTCATCGATAAAAGACAGAAAGCATTATTATTTCCACAGAGGTGGATGGACTGTATGCGTAACCCCACAACAACCCTCAACCGAAACACACGATCTCCACATTTGAAGATTGATTAAAATAATTTAAAAGCCACAAAAAATGTTAAGCAAAATCTACGTCAAGTCCCCATGAATTAAAAATAGCTCATAGGGGACCAGCATGGGCGGCGGATCTATAAAGTGGAGATCAACACGAAACTAGACTTGATTCTTTAGGAAATGACTTGATAAAATATACTTATCGTTTATACATGTCAGCAGGTTGAATATAAGATTTGTTTTTTACTTTTCCAATCCATGCAACAGGAACAATGGTTTTCTTCCAGAAATCATTTTAAAAAATTTTAATAAAAACCTTTGAATCATAATTATTTAAATTCAAATTCTTAAATTTTTAAAATTTTATTGTAGTACTGGTTAGATATTAAATTTTTTAAATAAATGATAAAATTACCTCTCATTTAAATTAACACCAAAACTTTCTTACTTCATTTGTTCATTATTATATCACTTGTTAATCTACTTATAAAATGTTTTTCATAACCCTACTTGACTTGATTTCATTTTAAATGTTTAAATTATCTTACTATACTTAATGATTTCCATAATATACATTATTCATTTACTTACAAACAATTATTTATTGTCTTATTTCATTTATTTATTGTCAGACTTTTATTTAATTTTATTTTAAAAATAATAAAATAAATTAAGCAATTAATAACATTTCATAAGTTAATGAATAAGTGAAATAGAATAATTTTAATTTTAATTTAAATGAGAGATAATTTTATCTTTTTTTTAATTTAATATCAAATCAATACATTTAGACTGAAATAAAATTTTAAAGGCTTTAAATTTAAATAAGTCTCGTTCAAGAATTTTTATTAAAATTTAAACCAATCAATTTAGCAATCCGTCCCAGTTGTTTTGCCATTTTGTGGGTAAAATGCTAAGTGATAGAAAAGAGACGAACAGTTACAAAAGCATACGTAGAACAGCAAAAAAGAGATTCAGCTAAAAGAAAAAGGTTAAAGTGAGAGTAAATGAGACAAGAAAAAAATTTATATATACTTTAGGACTAAGAGATGGTATCTTATGAGATACTTTAAATTAAACCTAGTTTAAGAGAATCAAAGGACCTAGATTATTGCCTCTGCATCTATTTGACTATACTACTATGAAGAGTCACTATGGATGAGCAGAATCCGAAGAGCGTAAGAAGCAACTACTAAATTTTAATTAATGGGACGTATTTGGTTTCTCTTCAACCAACTATAAAATTTAAAATAATTTGTGATAATTATTTTCAAGAGTATCCGTAAATTATCTCATGAAAAAGAAGGGGAGAAATTAATGAGGGTTGATGCTGAATAACGCGTATATGAACTGCACCTACCTTCAACCATTTTTAGAATACATGGCTTTAGAGCAACAACCTCTACCCTGTCATTCAATCTCTGCCCTTTAACCTAACAGAGGAAGTTGAGTCATTTCAAATTTCAGTTGCTGCAACCCAATTTATTAATATTACAGAGAATAAATAATAAGTAATTATTTAATTAAAAACAAAAAAACATTGCAATGAATAAGTCCAGAATTAAACCTACCTCGTGAGATAAAAATAATTTGTAAATGGCAGGTTTCCACATTCACAGCTATTAGCCTTCTCACATCAAGTATCTTATCAGTAGAGATGCCCTTCGAAAAATTTCCAACAAGGAGGATTTAATAATACTAAAATTTTTATTCTCACAGACTAAATTTATCTAGATTTAGGAAAATAAAGAAATATAAACCTTGAGGAGAACTTGAGAATCATAAGGAGTGACGACATAAATGTCCACCAGAGAAGGCACGGATGCTAAAATAGCACAAGAAAACAAATTAGGTGAACTTTAATTGCTTAATGAGCCAAAAAATAAATTTAAAAAAGTGAAAAAAAAAAAAGCATGGTAGCATCACTGCATTAGCATCATTGAAATCTGCAGGTAAAGAGATTCCTACTAACCTTTCTCTTCCTTCTTCTTCCTCTCTGTCTTGGCTTTATTCGATTTCCCCCTCCCAGTCCTCGGCGCCATTTTCTTCAAGACGAAAGGAAATCCGATTGGGAAGAAGAAGAGAAGAAGAAACCTCAAAACCTCAAACCTCACTTGAGAGAAACCATCGCAATCAAGAATAGGAGCGATGAAGGAAGCTCATCAGTGAAATGAAATGGAGAGAAAGAACATGGAGGAAAAAGAGGATTTATAGAGAGAGAATGGGAGAGAATTGAAGTTTTTATACGAGAAGGTGTATCGAAGAAGAAGATAGGATAAGGGTTTTAAGTTTCAGCCCTTTTCAAGATTTGTGAGCAATCCTGGCCTCTCCTTGTTGCTAATAAACCTGATTCTCTCTCTCTCTCTCTCTCTTTCTGTTTCTCTCTCCCTGTGAAAACCATGTGAAGTAAGCGCATAAGTTAGCTAGTTGGAGGAGCCCATGCAAGCGGGTACAAACAAAGAGTGGCCGTTGAGGAGTGGGGGTGGCCGTTGATTTCGTGCCACGTGGCGATAGAATAGTACTGCAGATTCAATTTTGTTTTATCACGTGTTTGCGTTCTAAGAACTTTCACTGGTGCGGGGAGAAATCAAATTAATCGTGGACCGTTGATCTGGCATATTTGACCATAGATGAATCACAAGCTGGTCTGTCATGTTCTGAGCGATTGTTAGTCCTTGTACTATGCTGCTCCAATCCATGATATAATTACGACTCCGATGCAAGAATTCGCTGAACCTTCAAATTTCTGACAAATTATTATTATTCCCCTTCATTTTAATATTTTTTGGAAGGAAATTAGTTTTATTTTAATTTTTTTTAAACAATGTTGTTTTTCAGTTTTTGAAAACTTTAACGTAGACTGGAAGGATAAGCAGGGAAAATTGGTTGAAAGAATCAAATAACAGAAATATTTCGCCAAAAGTATCGAAAATTTGAAAAATCATAAGCTTCTTCAAAAGAATTAAATTTGGATGAGAAATCACTAAAAAAAATTGTTTGACAGTGATTTAACTAAAAAAAAGTATTATAGATCCTAGATTAATGAACGAATCATATTATGATAAAGCATCCTTAATTTTAATATATAGTGAAACTTAATTATAATAACCACCAAGTATATGAGACATTTATAAAAAAAAACTCACTGCATTTAAAAATATAAAATATTTTTTAAAAAATTAAATGTCTAAAATGTAAGGTGTTTTTAATCTTTTGAAATATAATTATAATTTTTTTAAATGTCTCTATTAATAAATAATTTTATATTTTATTATAGAGTGTTTTATATGAATAAATATAAAAATAAAATTAAATAAAAATAAATAATTATTTTATTAAAGAATGAAATTTAATTAAAAAAATTTTATACTTCTGACTGGAGAGAATATATAATGAATGTCTCATATATTACCTTTGTAAAAAGAATCAACGATTTCCATGCATTTGTAAAAAAATGTATAAAGTTACATGGACGTGCTAGCGGGTGTCAATTGTAAACAGGTGAAACGGGTTATGGCCTATGGGCTAGCCTGTCCCAACCTATATATAGATATCAAAAATAAAATAAGATAGCATAAGTCCATATACACGACAAAGTATAACACGACTCTGTTACCACCCTATTCCCTTTTGTACTTTTTCACTTTGAAAGCCTAAAAACCTCACAGCCTTGCCCTCTACAAACTTTGTGCGCGACGGTCCCCCTCCAAAGGCCAAAGCTGCTCGTCGTCAGCGCCCTGCTAGGTGCTCTTCTTATATTGTTGAAAAAAAAAATTATATATTCATGAATATTTTAAAATTAAATTATTACTTAAATAGAATTTTAAATTTTAAATTTCTGAAATTTATAAAAAAATTTTAATTTTTAAATTTTGATCACTTAAAATCTTGCCATTAGGTTGGAGAAAATATTATTATTTTTTTATAGTATAGAGTTTAATTACACGTTAATATGACACTCATTTTGACTCTTAAAAAAAAGTTTTTTATTCAACTTAATAGTAAGGTTTTGGCACTCAAAATTTAAAAATTAAAGTTACACATTTTAAAAATTTAATTCATGATGCTATTCATGCATGCAATAATTAAATTCAGGATACTCATTAATGTTTAAAAAAATTTTATCTCAAAATTAAATTCTCGAACCAACTTATCAAACAACCGATATCCTACCTTGCTTAACAAATAAATCAAGTTTATAGGCTTGGCTTGATTATATTTTCTCTAAATATTTTTGGTTGTATGTAATATAATATATAAATGTATTATAAAGTATGTATTATATAAGTTAGTTGAGTAATTATTTTATGAGAAAACTTAAATGTTTAAAGTGTTTATTTCTAATTAAATCAAGATTTATTCATTTTATATAAATTATTTATCGAAAAACATAACTTCAGATCCCTGCACTTTACTCATGTTTTGCTTTTAATCCCTACACTTTTTTCAATATTCTAAATCTCTATATTTTTATTATCATTGTTTTAAATTCCTCCAAAGTCCTTACACTTTGTTCATGAAGGAACTTAAATAATAAAAAATAAAAGTATAAAGATTTAGAACATTGAAAAAAATGCAGGGATCAATAGTAAAACGCGAACAAAGTGTAGAGATCAAAAGTTATATTCTATAATAAACTATTGTTATTAATATTATTAATATATTAAAAATTGGTTGTCTTAATTTAATTAGATAAAAAATATTATTAACAAAAATGGCGTGAATACATTCCAATCCTTGTAATACAATAACCAGGTCTCATCAATTATATCTTTGAAGTTTGAATTAAGAATGATAGGGATCACAGGCTCTGGAGATCGGGTTGACAGCCTTGATGCAGTCACAAAACACTATTACCTTGTTAATACCTTTTTTCCAAACACATATTAAAGCCATGCAAAATTCCTAAAACATATGCTATAACGGAGGGACAGTAACAAGTTTACAACTAAAACCCATAATCCAATTACCCGACCCATCTCATGAACACCCCTTACAACTATTAATTTTTAAAGTTAGTAATTTAGGTTAAACTCAATAAATCACCTTAAATCCATCTGAAAAATTTAAGGTGAAGCTTGAAAAAATAATAATTTTTTTAAATGTTTGGACCGGCCTGAATAGACTCGAAAAAATTCGGGCCAAACCTGATCGAATTAGAGCTTGGCCCAAATATCTAAATAAAAAAATATTTTTAAAAAAATATATAAAATATAATAAATATTAATTAATTCTTTAAATTTTATGTCATTTTATATTAAATACCATATATTAAGTATACTACCATAGTTATTTTTAAAAAATATTTATGTTTTCATATTTTTATTATTTTAATCAATAAAATATCTCAAAATAATATTTAAAATATATTTTAATATTAATTTTTATATTTTAAGACCCAATTTTTTTAAAAAAATTGAGTCCTATATATCATTTGAGTATCCAAAAAACTATATTTTATATTTTTTTACTCTCTCAGTTCAAAAATATAAGGCATTTTTTGAAGAGTTAGATATTAAAAAATGTAAGACATTTTTAGTTTTTCGAGATGTAATCACTACCTTTTTTTTCAAAAGTACCCCTATTGATAATGATTTTATATTTATTGTAGGGTGTTTAATAAGGACAAATATTAAAAGATAAGATTAGTTAAAAAGTAGGTAATTACTTTTATTATGGGGTAAGATTCAATTAAAAATATCTTACATTTTTGAACGAAAAGAATATAAAAATAAAATATTTAATTTTAAAGTAAAAATAATTTTAAAAATAAAAATTGATAGGTACGAACTTTCAGCTCTACTATTAGATAAACATAATAAATTAAACAATATTTTTAGATAATTACTTGGCTATGGTTCACGCTAGATTTGGTTAAAAATTAAGAATAAACTGAAGCAAATACTCTTTTTGTGTAGGGGTTAAACAATATAAACAACTAAAAAATAATTCAAAAAATAGTACTTTGCTGATAATTAAATGATTTTGTTTTATAGAATATAATGATGGCTATTTTTTTTATATTCTTAAAATAAGAAATTAAAATTTACCCAAAAGTCATTAAAACTTTAAACTAATTGGAGCAATGATTTTAAGTTAATAGTCTAACCATGATTGAATTGAAATCAACTTAATCATAATTAAAATAATATAATTTAATTAAAATATATAAAACATTTATATATGACCATGATAAGAGTAATATTTAAACAATTAAGATATTAATTTATAAGTAAAGGAAATATTCATGATTAAATTATACATAATACAACAAAACAGTAACAAAGATACTTAATTACAATGTTAATAAGTTATTATTTTTTATTTTAAAATTAAAATAATATTTTATATTTAAGAAAATTATTTAAAAATTAAAATTAGTTCAGAAAATAAAGAAAAATATTTTTAAAAAGTTTTGAGTATTAGAATTAGCCCAAAGGTGTTAGGGTCGGCCTTTAAAACACTTCACACATCAAACACTTCTCATATCACCAAACACTCATAGTTTTGATTTCACGGTTAACTCTATTATACAATTTATAGCATGCTTTTACATTTGCAAACTCAATCATACAAGTAAATAAACTCATTTTTACATTAAATCTCAATTAACAAAAAACTACCTAAAAAAGTTTCCTCGATTACCTCAAACTTTTAAAAAGTCAAAAGTTTACCCTTCAATATAAGCTTTCAAACTTGCTTTTCCAAACGATTAATCTATAACTAATCAAGTCTAACACATTAATATTGTCAAAACACATTTTAGCTCTCACATTTTCATTTCTACAATACCCAATGCCTTCACTTATCATATTTAGGCCCAGCTATTTGGCTTATTAACTCTCTTTAACTCCCAATAGCTTTATTAAACTCTTATATTGTCATTAATGGCTCTCTAACAAAGTTTATCTACCATAATAAATAGCATTTTCGACCATTAATGCACCCTTAACCACCCAAACATGTAAACTCTTTAAATATTTCAAACAACTCCTATTAACTCCATTCGAGTCAATGAGTTAAGACCTATAATCTACATGAACCAAAAAGCATCTCCCATTATCAAACCCTAACCAAAACATAAAAAAAATGAGTTGGGAAGGGAGAAGGAGAGGTTAGAAAACTTACTTTTAAGGTTTGTAGCTTCAAAATGCTTCTAACCTTCTTGGAATTGAAGCCCTAGTAGAGCAAAGATGAGTTCCTTCGTTTCCCCTTCTTCCTTTTTTGATTTCTATCTTAGTTTGTGACTTATTTTTATAGAAATTGTACCCTACATCATAACGCCTGTCCTTATGCTTCGTTGCATGTGGTACAAAGAGGGCTTTTTATGTTCTAACTGGCTTATGCACTGCGACTTATTGTATACACACCGTAGCA